TATATGTTTGAATGGCCAAAGATATGGATATTTTTCTAATTCTAGGGATTTAAGGCAAGGGGATCCTCTTTCTCCTTCCTTATTCATCCTTGTTGAAGAGGTTTTAAGTAGAGGTTGAGGAGCATTTATCAGAAGCATCTGGTTGACCACTATCACATTGGTAGAGGTACCATGATAGTGAGTCATTTGTTATTTGCTGATGATGCCCTCGTATTTCTGAGGGGTACTAAGAAATCTGTACAGAATGTGATGAAGTTCATTGGTGAGTATGAAGCTTGTTCTGGGCAGAAGGTTAATAAATCAAAAAGTTCTATGTTTGGTTCTAAAAGGATATCTTTGGCAAGGAGGAATTGTTTGTCTTCTATGGTGGGAATTCCTTTTAAACAGTGCCCTTTTACTTATTTGGGTTGCCCTATTGTTAGAGGCAGAATCAGGATTTGCTATTTTGAAGATGTGATTAGGAGCTTCAGGAGTAGGATTGAAGGTTGGTATGCCAAGTTGTTGTCTGGCACGGGCAGAGTGGTACTTGTGCAGTCTATTTTGAGCTCTATCCCAATTCACTTATTGGCATGTCTAAATATTCCAATGGGGTTTTTAAAGAAGTTGAACTCTCTTATTGCTGGTTTCATTTGGTCTGGTAGGTTGGATGAGAGAAGAAGGCACTGGGTCTCTTTGGAGAATATTTCTAAGCCTAAAGAAGAAGGAGGATTAGGTCTTAGATGTTTTGAAGAAATTCAGTCTGCTTTCAGGATAAAGCAGGTTTGGGGAATCTTAAATGGGCAGTATCTGTGGGCAAAGGTGTTTAAGGGGAAGTTTTTGAAAGGCAATCATTTATTGAGGAGTGGACTATCTGGTCCTGGTCAAAGTTTTAGAATCTTGAGGCTTTGGTTTGAATTTGTAGTGAATAATTCTGTGATGCTCATTGGTGATGGAAAAACTTCTGATTTCTGGTGTGACTATTGGATTGAGCCTGGTCCTTTGTTGCACAGTATTGAGAGTCCTCCATTGTTTTTTCCTAAGATCAGTGAGTTATGGCATGGTAATGAGTGTCATTTTGAGGGGGTTGGTGAATGGCTTTCTTTACAGTTGCAGTTGGAAATTAGAAATTCTGGGGTGATTTTGACTAACAGACCTGATAAAAGGGTTTGGAAATCTACTAATTCAGGTACTTTTTAAGTAAAATCTGCATGGGATTTGATTAGGAGGAGAGGGGTGCAATGCTCTGTTGGAAAGACTATTTGGCATCAGAAGGTTTTCCCTAGTGCTCAGTTATGCACTTGGAAAATTTTCAGAGAGGTCCTGACTACTGATGAGAGGGTGCAAAAGGTGGGGGTATCTCTTGCCAGTAAATGTAGTTTGTGTGGTGTGGAGGAGGAGAATGCTGCTCATTTATTTGTTAGATGCTCTTTTGCAGCTGCTGTGTGGAAGAGAGTGTCTGCTGTTATGGGCTTTGAGGTTTTAATTGGTGAATCTCCAATTTGTAGATTTCTGAGGTTCGTCAGAATTTTTAGAGCTCAATCATTGAGTCATACTTGATCAGGGGAGTGTCTATGCTTATATATTGGGCCTTATGGAAAGAGAGATGTAGGAGAAGATATGAAGGGTTGAGCTTGAATACTTTTGCTGTTTTTATGCAGATTGTTAATGCTCTGAGGTGGCAGGTCTTTATGATTAGACCTAAGAGAGAGGAGAGTATTTGGGGAAAGGAAATGTTGCAGGATCTGAAAATTGGAGTACCTGGTGTTGTGGTCACTTCAGTTAAATGGATCACATAGGAGCCACCACCCTTGAACATGCTGAAACTAAATGTTGATGGTGCTTCAAAGGGGTGTAGTGGTTTGTCTGGAGGAGGGATGGTTGTAAGGACTGCTCAGGGGCAGGTGATCTTGGCAGCTGATGCCTTTTATGGTCCTGGATCAAATATGAAGGCTGAATGTTTAGCATTACTGGATGGTTTGAAGCTGATCAGGCAACATGGATTTGAGGGTAGCCAATTCTGGATAGAGTCTGATTCCCCAGTCCTGGTAAAGATGGTCTTGGGAAAATCAGAAATTCCTTGGAGGGTTAAGGGAATTTTGGAGGAGATTTGGAGTTTTCTTGGGACTTTGCAGTTCCAGATCAGACATGTTTTTAGAGAGGCTAATTCAGTAGCTAATTTCCTGGCCTCATATGCTGTTCAGACTGGTGTTTTTACTGATTTCTCAGACAGAGGTATTCTGCCGTTGGCTGGAAGACTTCTTTTAATTCAAGATCAGCTCAGCTTGCCTACTGCAAGGAGGAGGAGGGTTCTTTTGGATAAGTTCTGATCTGTATGGGGTCATGGTCTGTTTTCTGCAGTTTCTGCTGTGAGGTGATGGCTGATCAGCTTCTGCTTTGCTGGACTGTTTTGAGGCTCTGTTTGCTGGGCTGTTCTGCTAATTCATTCTTGATTGTAATTAGAAATGGTTTAATCCATCTTGTAGGATTAAAGCCATTTTTCATACTTTTTAGAACTTCTTGTTCTTTGCTTCTTGTAATTCATTCTTTTTGGAAATAAAATTTCTCCCTTTTCTTAAAAAAAAAAAAAAAAAAGGAAATGAGCAAACTTAGTTGTACATAGTAGAATTAATTTTTATGCCAAAGAAGCATACATGTTTCAAGAAGTTTTATACAGGAAATGAGGACTATGGTTTGCTAGCAGTACAATAAAAGATAGAATAAGATATATGCATGCATAGGAGAGATGTTAGAAGTGGCATGATTAGACTGGCATAGTTTCTCTGTGATGGATTGGCTACATGCAGCAAACACCAATGCAAGCTCTGGTGCAAACGAATGGCTTGTCCAAGGTGAAGGCACCCAAAAAGAAAGTTGTAGCAATATTATGGGTTGAAACTGCAAGGGAAGTTATGATTGCCAAGCATTTCTCCATGTAAGAAAATAAAAATGTCACTTAAGGATTGTTTATAGATAGTAGTTTGAAAAGCCTTCTCTCTCTCTTTGCGTATGGATAAGTTCTTCTTTGTTTTCCTAGGCATAAAGTTGCATCAGATACTTTTTTTGTTAGCAAACCCATGAAAAGGAGAGCAAAAGAGCATGCATATAATCATAAATTGGTAATGCACTTTGCAGGGGAAGGGTCTAGTTTTTAATACCAAGGCCTAACAAATTAATGTCAAAACTAAGTATCAAACCACATATTGAAATCTAGGAAGTACGGACACTTTATTTCAGTTAGAGTGTCGATGTCAGATATGCTACAGACATGCTAAAAGGAATGTTCAATTTTTTATCTTATCAAAAAAAAAAAAGAGTAGTGTTCGATATTTTTTTCAATTTTTCAATTTTTCAAATAACTTAATAATTATAGAAGTTATTTTTGTAAATTTAAAGAGATATAGGTCAAAGACATATATAAAAAGAGTTGTAATCGTGGATGTATTTTATGCTGAATGTGCAGTGTATATGTGATAGTGTGTTTCTTTATTCGATGATATCATGATGTTAATTTTTAGAATTAAGGGAAAGATGAATTGAATGATTATTATTAAAATTTATTGACGGATACGTGTCCTATTTTTTTGAAAATTTTCATGTCAACGTATCCGTGTCGTGTCGTGTCATATATGTGTATCCTTCTTTTCTTATCCTTCTCTCCTTTACCTATCAATGATTCTGTTAACATTGTAGACAAATCTTTTGCTTCTCGGGTGGTGGTGAACATTGTTCTTTGTGTTGCAGGAGATGCCCACTTGTGTTTGTGCTTCTTAGATTGAAATATTTACTTTAACAACTTTTCTCATTGGGTGATTCCAAAAGGAGGGGAAAAAAAAAGAAGACCAACTTCTAGCAACATATTTTTTTGAATCCAACAATTTATCAGTGATTCTTAAAAGTTGACTATTGAGTTAACAAACTCTCTCATTATAAATGCACCACAATTGAGCACCTCACCCAGATTATATGAAACTATTTGCGTCAGGTTGCACTTATACCAATGTTTGGGTTCTCATATTGTTCCTGGAACTATTGATTCATATTATATATCGCCTTCCCTTTTGGTTATGGCTGTGATTGCAAATTCATAAGTTCTAATTTTTGCCTCAATCACCAAATAACACCCCATCATGCCTGAATGCATTTCCATGATTGTGCTTTTGCTGCTTGCATATGATGATCCTCAGTGGAGAAGTGGGGATATTAAATACTGCTCAAGTTGTCGCCTTGCCATTCTCTTCTTAAGACCACCTCTTTTTATTGCCGTTCTTAGTGATCTGGGACATGGCCACAGACAATATCCCTCTTTCTTGTTGTAGGTTTGGTTTATTGGCAAGGGGGAGTTGATGATATCTGTTTCATTGGTAATATATGGGACCATATATCAACCTGATTAACTTGAGCCAACCATCCTCTCTACTTTTTCAGGTAAAATGGCATTTTTATCAAAGATAATAATATTCACAAACCACCTTCATTCTTTCTGGTTAAGTCATTACTTCGACTACATTATGCAATCCTACTTTCCGTGAAGCCACTACTACAATAAAATTAATGGACTATTTTACTCAAACCTCTGAGCTTGAAACTTCAGAGCAAGGATCAAAATATCGTTTTGAAATGGTCGAAACATTCAAAATCTTTCCGTTTCCAAGGAGACCGAAATGAATTAATGATGAAATCGAAATTTTAATATTTTGAGGTGGTGTTCCATAATATTTCAAAATATTTTGTTATATTTCAATGCATTTGCACAATTATATCAGAATGTTTCAAGGTATTTCAAGACATTTTAGTATATTTTGAACAATATTTTTAAAAAATAATTGTTAATTTTTTTATTTTTTTCTTTCTTTTTTTGAAACGGGTCGAAATATTTCTGAAATATGTCGAAATATTTTCATTTCCTAGGTGACCGAAACAATGTACCGAAACGAAATTTTGGTCCTTGTTTCAGAACTTTCTCATCTTTATAAACCAATGCTACTTACAATGATTTCCCTGAAATTACTGGTCTAACGAAAATTTTGTGCTCTTGTTTCCAAGTTCGTCTTCTTTGTCAATACGCATTTATGCATACATTTTGAAAACATCATTATACTTTGCTAACCCTTGTATTACAGCTGTACAGGTAGTGGCAAGCCCTGCTGACCTGGTTAAAGTGAGAATGCAAGCAGATGGCCGTATGCTGAGCCAAGGTCTCCAACCCAGGTACTCTGGGCCACATGATGCCTTAAAGAAGATTATTCAAACTGAAGGCTTCGGAGGACTTTGGAAAGGAGTTCTCCCAATGTCCAGAGAGCATTTTTAGTGAACCTGGGAGAATTGGCCTGCTATGATCATGCAAAACGTTCTATAATCGAAAATCAGATCTTTAGTGACAATATTTATGCCCACACTTTGGCCTCTATTATGTCAGGTCTTTCAGCAACTGTTTTGAGTTGTCCCGCAGATGTAGTGAAGACAAGAATGATGAACCAACCAGTGATCAAGGAAGGTAATATTAGATATGAAAACTCTTATGATTGCCTTGTGAAAACTGTTAGAATTGAAGGATTGAGGGCATTGTGGAAGGGATTTTTTCCTACATGGGCAAGGCTTGGTCCTTGGCAATTTGTGTTCTGGGTTTCATATGAGAAATTCCGACAAATTGCAGGCCTCTCTTCCTTTTGATGAATTCTTTTGTGTCCATGCAAAAATTACAGTTTTTTCTCATAGAGAGGTGACCGTGGAACACCAGTTATGATTCTAATTCATAAGCTTCAAACGTGGATGCACTGCTCCTTGTGGTTATTCAGATCCTGGCGTCATCAGATAGATTGAAGTTGTTCAGATCGTGAGTTATCAACCCAGACTCTTGTACAGGACAGGGCTATGTAAGTGGCTGTGCAAATAACCATTTCTTTGTCTGATCGACTATTTATCAAGTTAAATGCAATGTTTTCCTATGAAAAGCTAACAAGGTTACAATTTTACTTGGTTCAAAGATGAAGACAACACACACACATCCTGATTACTTCATTGTCTTTGAACATCTTGTTGACATTTTCCATGCTGATTGTGCTCTGGATCTGGAGGAGATATGTCCCTGATAATTGGGTTGTGATAGCTCATTTCTTAGTTGGGCTGGATTGATTGGACATGTGGTTAGTTATTTACAATGGTTGTTTACCATTAATATTGGCCAACCCAATAGCCTCAAATGCTTGTCTACTCCTCTATGCATTCCTTCTACTTGTTCACCTGCTAACCACCATTTTATTGGCCCTTTGTAATTGTTTCATAATTTGGTGAAACTTGAAGATGAATGAATTGCTTGGCCTACTTGTTCAGTGAATTTATTTGTATCTATAAATATAAGCCAAAAAAAAAAGAAGAAAATTTAATAGCCTGTTTGATTCGATGGAAAATTTTGTTTGGTTTTGTGGAAAAAGGAGTGGATTGGATGAAAAATAGATGAAAAGTGATCTATTTCACCCACTGCTTGTTATCCTCCCAAATTTGGGTGGAAAAAAAAAAAAGAAGGAAATGTGTGTGAATGGGTTAAATTACTTTAATACCCTCTTTTGTGTGTCCTTGGCCTTCACCTTTTTTTTTTTTTTGGGTGAAACAGGAGAAATTCTTGGTCTATTTCGAGTGAGTAGAGATGCGTTTATGTCAATCAGACTCGTGAATTCGAGTAGAATTGAGGGTAAATTTTAGGTGCATGAATCAACTCTTCAATTTATACACTAGTTAAATTAAGATTTACGTTTCGGTAGGAATTGAGATCTATTTTATTAACTAATTATATTTTTTATCGTTCAAAAAATTTAAATCTTTTACTTCAAGAAGATAAAATTTTTACAAGATGAAAATTGTAATAGAACCAAAAGTCGATGGTTACCGTTGCCTTTTCATTGGCAAGCAATCCCTTCTCTTTTTTTGCGAACCAAGTCTTCACAACTCACATACAAAAAACTCCTATGGTGGGGTCCACGTAATTTCTACCATAATTTCTTTTTTTTTTTTGTCAAGGTACCTCAGTACATGTTCCGTTTTTTATTTCTGTTTTTATTTACCCAAAAAAAAAAAAAGACTCAGGGCTGAAGGGTATTTATAGTATTTCGTTGTACGACTTTTTCCACTAACTTCTTTTTCATACTAAAATACATATATAAGAGCTTTTCACATTTTGTATCTATCTCAAAAGATGTTTCAATTTTAATTTTGTACCTCAAAAGATTATTTTTTTCATATTGTACCTTGAATGCCATAAATTAGTTCAAATGTGACCCTCAGACTAACAATTGTTTCAATTTTTTTTAAAAATTAATGCATATATCACTCAAGGATATGAATGGTGAGTTTATATTTTTATCTAAGAGCAAAATATGTGGGTGACATATATATCAATTTTTAACGGAATCTGAAATGGAAGTTAGTCCAAGGACTACATTGAAACCAATTTATTACATTCAAGATGCTATATAAAAAAAATAATTAGGGTGCAAAGTGAGAATGAAGACATTTTTCGAAGTGCAAAGTAGGAAAAACTCATACAATATCTCCTATTTTTCATTCATTCCTACCAAACAAAAAGAATTTCTTTCCTCTATGGATAGAAGAAAGTCTATCCCTTCTCTTTTTTCGTCCCTCTTATTTTTCATCTCTCCCACTAAATAATTCATAAATAATTTTTTAATTTAATCATCCAAAATCTCCAAAATAAATTCTCTTCTAAGGGTGACAATTTTCACCATGACATGCAAATAGTAAACTTGATATGAAATAAGTAGGTAAGATTGACTAACTCTCGACACGAATCCAATCCTTTAGTGTCAAACTTGAATATTTCGAATTTGACATGATATATAGATTTAGCTGATATTATATAAATAAAATATTTGATATTTGTCATTTTTTGTGGGATATTGACATGAATCATTGTAAAATGAGAGAGATTTCTTACTCTGAAAAAAAAACTAGGTCTAGTTGAGAAATAATGGTGTCTTTGATTCACGTGTAGTACAAGTTAACATGAAATCAATTCGATAATAAATAAAACGGGTTAATATCACAATATTTGACATAATTCATTAAATCAATTTTTCAGATTTTTTAATACTCGACACGAAATGACAACTCAACATACGACTTAGTTGCAACTTTAATTCTATGGGATTGACTATGGTATCGAAAAAAAAAATTCAGCAGTGTATTTCGAAAAAATTTATTATTTTAATAAGTGTTTTTATAACCAAAACAATTATTACTTTTGTAGGTAATTTATTATTATTGTGGGTATTTTTATCATTTTTGTAGGTGTTTTACTATTGTTGTGGTAATCATTATTACAACTTTTTTTCAGTACAAAAATTTATCACATTTGTGACTATTTTTACCATTGTTGTGGTACTACTTCTATCATTTTTTTTTGATACTATAATAGTGATAAAAACACTTAATAAAAATATTCATAAATATAATAAATATCGATATTTTTTTTTTTATTCCGCGGACAATTACTGAGATTCTAATTGACAATGAAGCTGTGTGAAGCTGAGACATTAATTGCCCCAACTGCGGAGTTGCGAAAACTTTGTGGGTCCTGAGTAATAAGCTTTTAAAGTTTAGAGGAGCTTAGGAGCATTCTTGTGAACTTTTAATTTTGGCTGATGACCTCCTTGATGATGAATGAGTGTGCACAGTAAAAATCCACTCGTTTTGCTATCACCTTCTTCCTGGATTCAGTTGGGTATTCAATCCATGGTTTGTAAGAACATCATTGATGACCATCGGTCAGAAATTTATCTTAGTGGGGACATATTTGAACAATAACACAATAAAAAAGATTGAATTAGTAAATAACTATAAAACCTTAAATATTGATTAGCAACAATTCTATTAAGCACATTTACAATATTTTCGACTAATTTTTTTATAATTTAAAATCATTGTAAAATTATCTTATCACCAACATAGTGAAAAAGAACAAGAGATGACACAAGATATATATATAAGAGAGAGAGAGAGAGAGAGAGAGAGAGAGAGAGAGAGAGAGAGAGAGAGAGAGAGAGAGAGAGAGCATATTAAAAAATGATTTTTCGATACCTAGTCAAGCGTATTCAACAAAAAAATGATAAAGTTTACAAAATTAGAATATAAATTTAATCTAAATGTTAGAGATGATTAAGTGAATTAAGATGGAAATTTAAAGTAAAATTTTGTTTGCAACAAAAAAATTGAGTGCACTGACTGTGGGAATTGCTAGTAACATGGAAATATTGGTTTATCTATAACATATTCAACTATCATCAAGAATAAATTTTACAATTATGGTTAAAATGTGTTAGTTCTTGAAAAAGTATGTTTTTGTAAAGAATATTTAGACGCGACATTTGTAAAGAGTAGTGAATCAAACTTTAGAGGGAGTTCGTGAACCAAATGTCTTACCTGGTGACTCTAGACCCATTTGAATCTTAGAACCATAACCATTCAATGGGATTTGATCAAGACTAAACGACCTCTCGGTCATAGAATAGTACTTTAAGGCGACTATCCATGCCTCTGTTGACGACCAAGACCAAGTCACAATGCCACGGGCTGCGAAGTTAATCCCAGAGTGATTTCTATAAGAGGGAGAAAATCGTTGGACATCACATAAGAGAGAATACCACATCGGATTGAATATATAACTTATACTTTTAAGAGTTGATCTTAAGTTTCAAACATATATATTTAATCTTAAATCTTTGGGTTCTCATCTCCCAACATATAAATCTGTAAATGATGTAACATTTCTCGCAAGAAAATAGTTGTACTGACAGAGAAAAGATGAAAAAAACTTCTAAATTTAGTTCTTTTACGAAGAGAATGACGAAATAATAATGATATTTTGAGAACGTAAGAACAAAACGTGGTTCTCATCTTTTTTCTAATTATCTTTGTGTAATTGAGTGTACTGTACTGACATGGTACAATCATTCTTTGACTTTTTTTTTTTCCTGTTTATTTAGCTAAGAATAAATAATGATTTTAATGTTGAATAGTGTTGACAGTTCATCACCTGAGCAAATTCAACAGCTCTGAAGGAGGTGATATAAATCACAACAATACCTGCCGCCATCTACATTGAAAATAAGTTTATCAAAGTTAAGGGGCAGATTTGGTCCTGTTTTTGTCTACCAATGTATACTTTTGTCGATAATTTTGTGGGAGATACTCTTACTCAGGGCATCTCTTACAGATTTGTGTTTTAGTCTTGACTTTTTGAATTTTTTTTTATGTTTGTCTTTGAGTCTTTACGTGACTTCACTATATATTTTATGGTGTTTATCCTTGTATATCTGTTTTCTTTTAATACATTTTACTTTCTGAAAATAAAGTTTATCAAAGTTACGACCCAATATGATAAACGATATGAATTGATGAGGTCAAAAAATTTAGAATCGATCCTTGAAAAATGAAATAGATTTCAAGTTCTTTAGATTGATTATGACTTGATTATTTTTCGTTGTAATTTTTCTTTTCGGTACAATTTTTAATTATAATTTGACCTATATAGATTCGTTGTTTCAAAATCTGTTGTTATTAACGTAAGGAATCTAATCGACAGACAGTTCTTAGGCGACTGTTTGTGAGGGGTTATAATATCTTGTTTTAGGACTTCATTAGATGAATTTTAATGGACAAAAACACATAATATATGAAACAAATAAAAGAGAATTTTTTTATTAATACAGTCGAAAGGACTTTGGTTACTAAAAAGATTGGATTAATAACATTGATTGCAATAGTAATTCCTTTTTAAAACTAATCTAACATTATTGCAAAAAATGGCCAAATCGTAAGTCTTGTGGGGGGTTTGAATGTATCATTTCATCTTCTCCATTACATGCCTTATATGACAATTTTTCTCAACTGTTTTTGTCTCCATCGATGATTATCTTGATAAGTAATTTTGAGTTAGTTATTTCTTCTTTTCAAATATGACTATGGTTGATCACCTCCTGCCTTTCTTCAAATACTGTTACGTGGCATCTTCTTAATACATTCAGATTTTTTGGATGTTAATACGTTGAACACTCCTAAGACTATATTTTAAGTCCAAACATGATCATAAATTTCTATAAAAATATTTTCTATACCCTAAACAATCCATCCAAATTAGGGGTGCAACTTGGGTTGGGCAACCCGATTTCAACCCGAGCCCAACTCAAAAAAATTAGGGCTTGGACAAGAGTTTTTAATACTTGGATT